GGTGAGGAAGTTCCAGGTCTATAGAAGGATCATTTTAAAACCTCCAGGAAGGAGGCTTTCACTGTAAGCCATAACTGGGGATGTATGAGTGTTTGGGGGGGCTTCATTGTGTGCAGCAGCTTTTGTTCCCAAGGTAAGGATGTAATTAGGTGAAAGGAAATGTAGAGGGAGGCTCATCACAGGCTTCCATCTTGCTGCTGCTGGGGATCCGTTAATGAAGTCTAATTACAACACCACAAGCCTGTGTTCTAGCCCAGTGACTGATTGGCTTTGGAGATGCAAAAGCTCTGTTGTTGTTTTAAGCCAGGAGAAAGGAGGAAAATGAGCTGTTAATTAGTTTAGTTCTGCTTTATCTGCAGCACAAACCAAAGTATTAGTTACAGCAGCAGTTCTCTGCCTGATAGAGCTTGGCCCTCCACCTGCAACAGTCCTGTTGTGTTCCTTGTGGAGGGTTCTACTGTGTGAAGTAGGCTTGGAGAAGGCAAAAGGTTGGCTTGGATTGGGGTCTCAATGAGTAAGGACCATAGTGTAGAGAAATACAGAGATTGTTGCTTGACTGATGGGATGGATGGGTGGATGGACAGGAAAGATAGCTTGGGAATTGCAGATACAATGGTATGATCTCCATACAAACTGAAAAGAAGAGCTGCTGTGTCTGCATTCAGGGGCATTTCTTTGCAGCATCCAGGAGTGCTGCTCTCAAACAAGTAACTTGGTGATTTAGACACTGTGTCTCCTAGGTCCGTCCTCAAAGTGGCTTGCTGAGGTTTGAAGGAGCAATACTTGGTGCACCAGCCCTTCACATCCCAGTTTGAGTCACGAAGCCCCTAGGCATAGTCCTACCTGGGTGAGCCTCCCTAGAAAGGGCTGAGGATTGCTTTGCTCCTCAAAGCTATGAACAGCACTGAGTTTTATGGGAGTTGTTGGGTTAAAGTGGCAATGGGCAAGGGTAGGCTGAGTGGATCCAGTTTCCTTGTGGAGGTGAAGATCGAGCCCTGTCTTTAGATGAATCTACCCCATTACCAGAAAAAGCCAGGTAAATGGCTTAAACTGCATAATGACAATAGCAATCCCTTATCATGGAGACATTTCCATGGGTGCCATGACAGGAATTAAAATCCAATCCATCTCTTAGTTCATGAGACTATTAAATTTTACTTTCAAGGCATTTAAAGAATAAATAGGCATGGAAGAAAATGAGCTCCAGGAGCTCATTGCCATCATTGGTGAACTGATTATAACTGGGGGAAGAAAAACCCAGGAAAAATAATGCTGTCAGCATTGTATCAGATGGAAGTGAATTGCCTCTGATTGGCTGTTAAATTGAAGAGCCATAGGAAAAAGTGGGAAATGGGGAAACCAGAGTGAAGGATAAGCCCAGAAATACATCGGGGAACCTGTGTACTGTATTCCATGAGGACCAGATGAGTGCTAGGCTGATGGAACATGGCACAAACAGCAACTTCACTGGCCATAAAGTTCTGTTGTCACAAGAGAACCATTTCAGCCTAGCTGAGAGTGACAAGTGAGGCTCCCAGCTACCCCACGGCTTCATCCCCACCTCGGTGTGGAGACGAGCAGCCATCGGTGCACAGCGAGGTTTCCATCCCCTGAGCTCTGTTTTCATGGATGCATTCCTCAAAGCCCAGTTGCTTCCTGGATTTTCCTCTGGCCAGGAATTTTTGTTATCCCTTTTCCTGGCTTTGTCGTGGTGAAAACCCCTCTGACTCTTCCCAGGGCGCACGGTGCTGGGAGGGGTTTTGAGCCCAGTGGAACCATGGGGACAACTGTGAAATATTTCCGTCATCTGTGGTGTTTTCTGGGCTATGAACCCTGGCATCAAACAGGGAGAGACAACAGGATCAACAGCAGGAAGGGTCTCGGGTTTCTCTAGGGACTGAAAGGAAAGGTTATGCTAGAGAGGGGCTGTTCATCAGGGATTGTAGGGACAGGACAAGGGGTGATGGGTTCAGACTGAAACAGGGGAAGTTCAGGTTGGAGATAAGGCAGAAGCTCTTCCCTGCGAGGGTGCTGAGGCGCTGGCACAGGGTGCCCAGAGAAGCTGTGGCTGCCCCATCCCTGGCAGTGTTCAAGGCCAGGTTGGACACAGGGGCTTGGAGCAAGCTGCTCTAGTGGAAGGGGTCCCTGCCCGTGGCAGGGGTTGGAGCTGGATGCTCTTAAGGTTCTTTCCAACCCAAACCATTCTATGAAATGAGATGGAGGATTTCCTACCCGCTGTGAAGCCGAAGGGGAGGTGGTGTTGTGAGGCAGCTGCCTCGACGCTTACACAAATAAGTTAAATTCCCTTTTACAGCTTTCAGCAGACGTTTATTGCTGACCCGTGCTGTGGTGACAGCTCTGACCAGGCCAAGTCATCCTCAGAAGCTGTTCACATGGCTCAAGTATAAATATTTTGATACAAAAAATAAGACAAACCCCCTCCAAACCCAAGCCCTTGTGCTTGCCATCAGTGATGCTCCATGGGGCCATGAATGAACACGGCCTCTTCCCTTCACCCTTAGCCAGGCTACAGCTGTAGGAGACAGGCAGCGTTGGATGCTTCCAGGCCACTTTGCTTTCTTGTCTTGCCAGTGCTGAGAATCCAGGAACAGAAGAAGAGTCTGGAAGTTCTTGAGGTGAGCTTACTGGCTTTGAAGGTGCTTAGAGGTGAGGGATGAAGAAGGAGCTAGGGAGCCTCAGGTCAACGCAGTGATGAAGGCACCACATCCACCGGCAGCAGTTCCCTGTGTTTTAGGTGCTCCTGATGCTTTTTAGCTCCAGTTGAGGATGTAGAGACCAGAGAGTTGAAGAGCAGGGGCACATCTCCTGGGGTTGCTGTTGACAGCACTGCCTTGTGCTATGCAGAGCCACGGCTGCTCGCCCATTGCACGTTATCAGGGCTTACCTAGAACAGTTTTAGCTCAGGTGCCAGCTCTCTGAGACCTTGTGAGGCCATTGGCAAGGGAAGCCGAGCTTTTCTTCTTCCTACATTGTGCAGCAGCTATGGATAAGCCCACCTAGCAGCAGCACCCTACCCTATGTTGTCTGCAATGCACACTTGGAGCTCGTTACTATATTTCACCTACAAATGCATCATGCTTACAATAAGAAGCTGATCAGCGGCTCTGGCATTTTACACTCAGCATCTGAGTTGATTTTAAAGTCACTTTGACTTTTAAATTAAATTATCTCATGCATAGAAACAAAAGATGCAGAAGAACACCGCAAGGATTCACAGAACTCGTAATCAAGTACTTATTAACACACATATATATATATTAAGCTTTAAATCAAAACCAAATCTTTCACTTTTTTCATATATGAATTTTGTATGATATAACACACATCAGCATGGTCTAGCTCTCAGTCACACACAGTGCTCTGCCTGTTATACAATGTCTGCTCTACTGTCCTACTTCTGCCCTTTTAAACAAATACAGGTAGACTAGACTCTCTAAAGGAATAGAAGCTGCCATAGCACTGTGGCTGTGCTGCTGCCCGTTATGACTTGAAGGAGTTCTAGTCTTCATCCGTTAGGAAGAGGGAAATAGAGTGTTTTGGGATCTTAGATGATCTTGTTCTCCAGGGCTTCGATCCTTTTTGACACAGCTTCCAGTGAGCAAGAGTTAAGGGATAAAAAGGACAGTGCACAGCAGTGATTCATTGCTTAAGTCATCCCCTGGCCCGCAGAGCAGGTAACCAATGGAGTTACCTTGCAGGTAGCAGGTAGCACAGGGATGCTGCCATCATCTGCTCTGGTATCTCCAGAGATGATGAGGCTGAACTTTTATTGAAGGTAGAAAAGGTTCCTGTGTGCACAAACACTCACTTGCACCTTTACATCTACTATGGAAGGAGGAGTAAAAATGGTGAGCCTGATTGGAATGTGTTTTGAGTGGCTGACAGAGGATTCCTGACCTTGAGCAGCATGGGTTGGGTGATGAGTGGAGCTTTTCTTAGAGCTCTATGGTGTGTCACAATTTTCTGCTCTTTTCACTAATTGCTGTTCTTGATGTGCCAGGGAGCAGCAACCCACTGGGTGAGAACTACTGATTTACTCTGACCTTTTGCATAACAGAAGTGGTGGTTTTCACTCAATTTGAGTAAAGAGGAGAAAATACACAGAAATGTGTGAATACATTAAAACATTGCTTTTAAAATCGTATTCTTCCCTTATTCTCAGTAATGCAAAATCTCGCCAGCCCTGTGTGAGCCACCCTGAGGGTTCACTAATTCCTCTCCCTGTGAGAACTTAGAATCTCATACTTGTTTAGTGGGAGGTGTCCCTGCCCATGGCAGGGGGGTTGGAACTGGATGATTTTAAGGTCCTTTCCAACCCTAACTATTCTATGATTCTATACACAATTTTTCCTCTTTTCCTTGTTTCTCTTTCAACCTCTTATTCATGGTCATTGTGCAATGTGACAGGACCCAACATGCAGAATGCAGCCCCACCAGCTCAGGTCAGATGGGATCCAACTCACCTCACTGGACCTCTCCACCTGCATCTATCCAGACCACCACCAGTCAGAGGTGGTTTGCTGTAGAAAACCCTCTTCCTCTCCAGTGTTGTGCAGGGATTTAGGCAGCCAGCTCAGATGTTTGCCTTGCAGACATTAACCATCATAAACAGGATCCCACCCATGGGGCTTTAATGACTGGGTGATCAGCTGCATGTGTGCACCAGTGGTTGGTCTGCTCACAGCCCAGTGTTAGCTCTCAGCTCTCACATTCCAGCCTGCTTCACAGGACCGGCAGCTTGCAGAGGGAGCAGCAGCATCCCATGCGTGATTAAGCATCTGCCTAGAGCCTGACCTAGGTCTTGGTGCCTACAGCTCATTGCTGCCTTTCAAGGATTTGCCATATTCTCCTTTGGGTCTGTTTCTTTTTGGTCTACTTATTCTGTGTCAGAGCATTCACTCTGGTGCAGGGACTCTTCTTGTAGGCATTCATAACCTAAGTAAGTGCCTTGTTTCCCAGCTTCCTGAACACGTACCCAACCCCCTTCCTTCATGAGTAGATTTCCCCCACTGGTCCCTCCAAAAGGCACATCCCAACCTGCTGAATTCTGACCAAACACAGCTTCCAAAGGATATATTTCCTCTGCAATGAATTTATGAGGTCTTCTACTTTTGTCTGGAACTTCACAATGGATTTACATTCACATGGATCTTCCTCTGTGGATCACAATATCAAGAAGATGAGTTAAGTGGCAGAGAAAAGGGCTTAGATCAAAATCACTGAGACATATGAAATAAATCAATTTGTATTTTCTTTATCAGAAGCAGGAAGGAAATCAAAAGGTTATTCCTGTTATTTGGGTGATCACTTCTGGCTTTAAGCTCAGATGACTAGAAAGAGCTCACATTTTCTTGTTGTATAGGCCAGAAATATTGCTATATTGTTATATAGTGCAGAAATCATCCTTCCTGGATTTCCATTTTCCCCAAATCCCACTGAGTTCTACCACTGATGTTTAACGTTTGCCCCCAGCATTTGAATCTGAGTAGACACAGTGCTCAAAGCAACCTCTGTCCTCTCAATAGCATCACCATGCTGGGCCATACCCTTAGTCCTGTTCGCCGTTTGACAGTCGAGACTTGTTTGAGCTTTGCTCTCAGTGCTCCATCTCTTTAGCAGGCAGAGCAATGTGCATGCATTGGTTTGCTAATCTAGGTCAATAATTTACATATGATCTTCAAGGCAAATTAACTTAAACTGGAATAGAAGTAAAAGAGGGTACGGAGATGACTGGGAAAGGAGAGGAGATGTTTACAAGACCACAGTGAGTCAGCTCAACTGCTTAGCAAATGGAAGGGGGAAATAGGAGAAGGACTTTTTGAGGGAAAGGACATGACTTGCACAAAAGCACAACAGGATTAAGCCAGCTATGAGTAAACTAAAGCTGGATATTAAGAGGAGATTTCTAGCCATCTGTTGATAAATACGAGCTGGCACTGGAAATCAAACACACACAAATATTTCCTTTCCTTCTCTTTTTTTAACTCAAATGTTAAGCTCGTCACCAAAACTGATCTTTTGGCAAACAAACACTTTCCCCGAACTTTATTTGAATTATTTATTCATTTATTTGTTTGGATGCTGAGTCTTTGAATGTATTTGCTTCCTCAAAAGAAGTTTCAATGCAATATGTTGGGGGTTTTCATTGAGCTTCCATCACCTTGTTCTTGGGTCCACTCCTACTCTTTAAAGTAGCCATGACAAAGCGAGGTTTTATCTTGCAAGCCTGGCTTCCAGGCTCTGCAGACACAGCACCCTGGAGGGAGTTCTCCCTCAGCATTCCCCAGGAAGAAAGGGAGGTCCCGTCTTTAGGGATCTGGAGAACAGGGGATGTGCCCAGCATGACCCAGAACATTTGTAAGGGTGTAAGGAGCAGGATCTTATTTTCCTGAGGCAAAGCCCTCAACTTCCCAAGTGTTTTTTCTCCCTAACATACACCTAAGGACAAACCCGGATGAGTCACCTACTGCTACCCACTAATATTTACTTGGATGTCTCTTGGGTTTGGCACAAATAACAATGTTAGAAATAGCAAAAAAATAGGGGGGAAAAGGGGAGTAACATTGGGCAATGTTTATCGTTGAATCCGGTTCATGTTGTGGAGTGTCTCCATATCCCATGCCAGCAGCTCATATGGGGCACTCAAGCAGGTCTACCCGCTCATGGGAGCTGGAGCTGAGCTTGGCAGAGCTCTCTTGGGAACTGAATGAGCCCCATCAGAGCTGGGTGCAATAAATCTCGTTGGAAACTGGAAGGCAACATTTGCCTTGTGGGATAAAACACTCGGAGCACCTGGACTTGACAAGTGAGTGCCAGCTTCCTGGTGGGCCTGGCAGTAGAGCTCTCAGACGTGCTGCAAGGTATTCAATGCCTGGCATGAAGCTGGGGTGTTTGGGATTCGCTATGATCTGCCTGGTGGAGCAGATGCATTGCAAAGGGCCAATATTTCATAGGAGGCATTTGATTCCTTCAGAACAAAAATATAACTGGTAGTTCTTTTCAAAACCATTTTTAGACTCAAGTTATTTACAGGTCAACACTCCTTAAATGTCAAGTTATTCTTTGCCTTCTCTTGTCACGCCTGGCTCCCACTCACTCCTCCCTCAGCCTTTGTTTCACGAGGCTGTCCAAACGCGAGCAAGGTAGAGTTCATGTTACCCAAATTTATACACCCACAAGTCATGTGGAAGATATTAGGTCTTATTGCAAGTTGAAATGTGTCACCCCTGGGGTGCCTGTTTGACTGCAGAAGCAGCCAGTGGCTGGTGAGCTTCAGCTCAGATGTCCAATTTCGTGATGATCTTCAAATTAAGCTGGAATAAATCAACCCTTAGCTTCTCTTTTAAGAGCATCTCTCCTTTCCTTATGTCATTTTTGGCTGTTCTCAGGCCCTGGTACATTCTGAATTCATAATTTCTGAGTAAGGTAGAGAGGGGAAGGAAAGGAGAGAAAAAGGGAAGGAGAAGGCAGTTTGTGAGAGGGGGAGAGGGTTGAGGTGCATGGTGGCTGTGGTTCAGGTATCCACCTGAACTGTTGATGTCTCATGGTTCCATGTACCCTGCCAACTGTACATCCATCTGAAGAGGCATTTTTGTCCTTCTGCTTCCAGCCTTTCCATACTGGGACTGACCCCCCCCCCCAGTTCTCCCCAGTCCCCCGCTCTCACCAATGCAGATTTCCATTTGTAGCTTCTTCCCGATGTTGCTGATGGTTCTGAAGTCAGCCGTGTAGAAGTAGTGCTCAGCTACTGGTTCTGAAGCGATTTCCCTCAGCTCATCCTCGACGGCATTGCCAACTCCCACAGCAAACATCCTAAAGCCTGGGAGCAATGGGAGCCTGTCAGCTGGACACCTATGGAGCATCTTGCTGCTGTGGTACCCAGTTTGTACATCCTTGCTCACCTTCTGGACCCCTGGTCTCCACAGAGCTCTGCAAATGTTAACTGGAAATCACCCCCTTACCCTCTACTATCATAGACTGCTTTCACCCGGGGTTTCAAAGTAGGTTTGCAGGCAAAGTCCTACCAGAATTATCCGGACAATGACCACTGTCAGCACAAGAACAGTGCTCTGGAGCTATGAGGAAGGACAGATGATCATAACGCCCTGACAGGATCATCCATCCAGCTCACATGGAAGCAATAACACAGCAAAAGTAAAGAGTGGAACTTTTCAAAGCAGCCTGCAGCCACCATTCATCAGCTCCATCCTCTGTGCCACAGAGACCTTTGGGTCAGCGAAACTGCAGCTGAATCTCCTTCTGAAATTGCAACTTATGGAGTATGTCAAGAGAGACCCAATACTGGGAGGTGAGAACATGCTTCACTGCCAGGAAACTGATTGGCTACCTCTGCCTTAAGCTTGTTTCTGTTGAGCTGAACTGCAGTTTTCCCATTGATTTGAATGGTGATACAGGTTAACCCCTGTTTTGAAATAGTTTCTCCACTTGTCCATGTCTAGACACGGGTAATGCTTTCCCCTCCTCCCCTTTTTGCCTTGTTTTTCTGCCTCTGGATATATACAACAGTTGTGTTTTTTTTCCCCTACTGTCCTACTTAATTAACATGTTTGGAGTCTTGTTATAAGCATCTTGTTATTTATCCCCCTTGAAGAACTTCTGAACACGTTGGAACAGGAGAGGAAGAATCAAGAAGGCATAAAGTTTTATCATCGGGGAGGACTAAATTCTATAGATACAGTTGATAAGGACCTTTTGTTTTATAAGAGCTGAACATCCACACAACACACCAGCTTGCTTCGTAAACAGCAGCTTTTCATGAGCTCTCACCTGAGCTTTATTATCACATGCTAGCCCTTAGTCCCATCTAGTGGCGGAGCCCAGAGTTAAAGGGAAAGAAAGGATTTAGCAATTCATGAGCCTGTTCACATGGGCTGCATCCATTTACCACAGAGATGTCAAGACTGGGAACTTGCTCAGCAGGTCAGCAAAGGGGCAGATCTCAAGCTATTTATACTTCACTCTGTTTAGACGTATACATATATCAATATATGGACACTGTGCTCTTTTAGTGTTCCAGCAGAAGCTGGAGAAAGTTCCTTATTAGTGTGCCTGGGATTTGAGCAGGGAGTGCATGGATACCCTCTTAATCCATGTTTCTGCTTTGTTTGTTGTTTCATCTCTTCTTTTCCTTCAGCTGATACAGCTGAGCCACTCTTGGCCCTACAACTCCCATTGTTCTCTAAGGGGTTCTCTGATGGTTGGCTTGGCCTCACCACGAGTGCCACTGCTGCTGACCTGACTTTCATTACCAACATCAGACAAACCCTCAGCTTCTCCCTGAGGTTTCCTTCACATCTGTGTGAGGCATGCTAGACCAGTCTGCATCCCGTACCAAATGTGTGAAACTCCATCCTGCCCAGCACAGAGACCTCCAGCAGGCTTGCATCGAAGACACAGAGGGGCTCTGGGAACAAAAACAGCTGCTGGCAAATCAAGATCACTCTGAACTGCAGGTAGAGTTGCTCCAAGTTCTATATGAACATGCAACCACAGTCAGGCAGCATCTCAACAAAGTCACTCTATAGTAACATGTTTCTACCCTACGACATATCTCCAGAGAAAGATGCATACCTAGGATTATGCTAGGTGCAGTACTTGATCCAAGGGAGAATTCAAGACACCTACCTAAGTCTTTGGCTTTCTTAGCAGCATCAGTGATGTAGTCTTGTGACCGTCCATCTGTGAAGACTATGCCCACCTTGGGGACCCCGGGCCTGGCTCCATTGATGATGGAAAAGGAGCTGTCAATGAGATACTTGAGAGCCTGGCCCGTCATCGTTCCTTTCTCCATGTAGGCCATTTTCTTGACTGCTGCTTTGATGTCCTTCTTGTTCTTGAACTGCCCCAGTGGGAACTCCTGTCTGACAGAACTGGAGTACTGAACCAGGCCAACCTGAGCCTGTTTGTCCGACACCTCCAGCGAGTCCACAATTTGGTTGATGAATTTCTTCACCAGCTCAAAGTTCTCAGGCCGCACGCTCTTGGAGCCATCGATGAGGAAAACGAGATCCAGAGCAGATCCTGACCCACCGCTGCAAGCTGAGAAGAGGGCAAAAGGAAACGGCAACCAAGACCCCAATTAATTATGCAGGAAGATGTTACCTGAGTGCCATTTTATTGCTAATGGAATAGGTTTCATGAATCAGAACTCAAACCACAGTTCACACTCAGGGTTTCAAAATAACTCTTGGCTTGCTTTTCTGAGCAGAACACATCTACCATGTCCCAGTCCTGTCCCCACCATGGCATTGCAGATCACAGCTCGGCTCCGTGCGCATGGAAAGGATTACATACCACTGCAGGTCTTCCCGTCACTGTTCAGTGTGAAACCTTCTTTACAGGCACAAGTGTATGCTCCTGGGGTGCTGATGCAGATCTGCTCACAGTCGTGGTCTCCAGTGGCGCACAGGTCTGACACCACTGTAAGCAAAGGTGGAGATTAAAATCAGAGGCCATGCCAAGGCTTCTCAACCCAGCTCCTGCACAAAGCATGGTATTTGTCCCGTACACCAAGCGTAACTCAATCCATTCTGCAGCAAGACAAGACAGCAGAGGATAATGACTGAGATACAAGGAGAAGTTTACACAAGGCTCAAAGGCACAGCCAGGACTCCGTTCTGAGGGCAAAACCCATCTGTCTGTTGAGAGCACCACAATATACTTCACTCTCCAGAGCTACTGGATGAGGTTTGCTACCTTCTGGGCTGGCCAATACCCATGTTTTCCAGCTGTCATACAAATATGACTGGTGAGATCAGCCCCATGTACACTTGTCTTTCCTGGCTGGGATCCACATGCATTCACTTCAGAGCCCCCCTCACGTGCAGCTTTCAGATTCACTCTACAAACACTTCTCCTGCTGATCTCAACCTGGATCCGACTCCTGAGATGCTGAGCAAGCAGAAGCTGGATCGCAGCAGTTTGAGCCAGCAGCATTCTGTGAGTGACAACACTGTCACAGCTACAGCAATGGCGATGGAAAACGAACTCAGCAGTAAACAGGCCTGGTTGAAGCAAGTTCATTTACACATACCAGGGAAATCTGTGCGGAAAACCAAGCATTGAGGCCTATCAAAAGTCAAGGGGCTTCCATTTGCTATTTCAAGTTGTTTGTGTTTTGCACTTCTGGCCTTCCCAATCCACATGTCTGCAGATTGTGCCAGGGCTGGTAGATCATTCCAGCATATATGGAGCTCGTATCATTGGGAATATCACTAACCATGCAGCTGGCTGTAACGCTGGACTCTCAGGTTGAGTTCTCTGAAGCCTACAGGGATCTTATTAGTCAAGCTAGTGGTTAGATTGTCCCTTTTCCCATGGGTTTTCTGAGCACTATGGGAAACAGCTCGGACACCGCAGCACAGTCCTTCCTGCTGTCAGTACCCACAAACCGTGCTTTGCAATAGCAGGTGGAGTTTGGGTACATCTCCAAGGATGGTTTCATGCAGCTGCTTGCATAGCACGATAACAGCCCACTTGGCAGCTAATGTGCTGCTCTTCTCTGTTAGCTGTAATAATCCTTAGTGCAGCTCTTCCCTTGGATGCACCTCTGAGGGTTCGTACCATGGGGAGCACTTTGTCATCTGCACGTTAGGAATTGGAAGAGCAAGGCACAGAAAGGGGCTTTTTCCTCTTTATCTTTTGGAATGGCATCAGTGCCAGAGCTTCAAAATGCTTTGTCAGCCCTCTCTGTGTCAGGCTGACTCCAGGGCAGCCAACACCAACTCCCGCAAGCATGGCCTGGATCCCACCTACTGAAACCTTGTCTCTGTCCCTTTAGCATGAAGTATTTGCTCCCCTCTTTCATGAGCTTCTGGTGCAGTGACACCTGATTACAACACAGGACTCTCTTTATAAGCAGAATTTTCCTCCTTCCTGCAGAGGAGGACATTTTCCTCCACAAGAAGCTGCTCTTCCCCCCATCATTTCCAGCCTGAGTCATGAAATCTTACACCTCTGGAAGGAACTGGAGTTTCACAGGTCCATCTGTATGTGTTTGCAATGCCTTGCCATAGGCACCGCGGCGTATCACACCTTTTAAAAGGTGTTGCCGCACGAGATGGGCGCGCGATCTCCCCCAGGCCTCTCTTGCTGACACAGTAAATGGATATTTATAGGCCACCTCCTACAGCCTTGTGGGTACATTTGAAAGTAATAAAGCTTTCTCACTCCATTCACTGGTTTATGTAGGAGTATGTGTTTGCAGGAGAGCCAGGCTCTTTATATGCCGTGCAGAAAGGCGTTGGATACCGCACCAGCCGGGAGAGCCTCCTGCCTCACAAGGCTTGCAAAGCCAATAGCGTAGTCAGCAAAGGCAGTTCAGCCTCTAGCAGGGTAATGAAACCATTCCTTGCTGAAGTGGGAATTCCAAAGACAATACTGGGGGGGGAAATTACAAAACCAGATTCTCAGAACTGCCCAGATAGGCTTAAACATAAGGCCAATTATTTTTACTCTATAAAGAACGTGTTTTCCAGGTTCTCTTTCAAGGCCTCAAGGAGCACGTAGGTCAAGTTTACAAACTGGAGGCTTCCTTAACTGAACCAGGCAATTCCCTAACCCAAACTTGAAATACTTCAAAGGCAACTTCAGAGGTCATCTGTCTTTCATACTGCTTCATGCTCCTGCAGACCCAAGTCCTTGGAACGAGGAAGCGGATGGATGAAGGATGCTCACACCTACAACACCCATGTGAAAAGCTTGCAGCCCCTCGCAGCTCTTGGCTAGGACCCCAAGGGTTGTGTGGCGAGGACTTACCACAGAAGGCTTCTTGAAACTTGTGGGTCAGCTTCTCTATGACGCTGTAGCTCTCCACGTAGTCCACGTGGTCATCCTGGGGCTGGCTGGCTATTTGCCGCAGCGTGTGCATGTCCACCCGGCCGACCCCGATGGCAAAGATCTCGATGCCGGCTGCTCTGGCCCTCGCTGCCACATCCCTCACTCCATCCTGGGGACGCCCATCGGTCACAACGATCGCCACCTATGCAGAGGAGGGCAGAGGCAAGGTGGGTGCTCGAGCAGGCGTCGGTGGCACTGTTGCTTGTGGAGCAGGCAGGGTTAGGAAAGAAGGTTTCTGTTTCTAAAATGAAGGAGGAAGGAAATGCCACCCTCTCCTCCTCCTCCTCTTCCAGTTCTGCCTGAGATCACACAAGTCATTCTTTTATGTGGGATTTGTTTCTTTTTGAGCTGGAAAGGTTAAGCTGCCAGGGACCCAGCTGATTTAGTCAAGGGATAACTGGTGCATCTCGCCCCTAAGGAAACTAAAGTAAAGGTTACGTTCTGCAATGGCAAACTAACGCTCAAGCCAAACTCAAACTATGTTCATGAACCCCCTGCTGACCTAAGGACAACTTTAACTCAGAGTGGGACTTTAAGGAGTCTCAGGAAATGTCATGGAAGCATCATGAGATGAGGACTTTTCCCTATTTTATACATGGAGAAGCTGAAGCAGATGAAGGGGAAGAGATCTGCTGAAGGTCCTGCTGTGTGTCAGTGCCCAGTTACCTTGTTCTGCAATAAACAGCAGCGATGGAATCCTACCTCTACTAACATCAGCATTAAAGTGACAGCTGATTTAAGTGGAAACTGGTTTTCACCTTGGATTAGATGGAGCCCTGAACCGGTGGAAAACCTCCAAGAGTCCTGCTTGTTTGTCCATTTTCCTCTTTATTTTTCTTCTGGTAGGTGACATTGTCACAAAACCTTAATTTTTGTTCTTTGCCTATTCGTCTGCTCCTGCCCCTTTTCCTTACAGCTGTTTTATTGTGACACCGCTGCCAACTCCAAAGGCAGTGATTGGGTTGTAATGCAGTGTGGAGAAATACAACCAGCAGGAGCAGGTGAGCTGCTAAGCAAAAAAAAAGCTTCACATTCCAGGCAAATGCCCTCAGAAATACAGAAAGTAAAGAAAGATGAGATGAAAAATCCAACTGGCAGCAACGGTGAGTTCAAATGAGCCATCATCTGGTCATTAAGGCAGTATTTGCTGTTCTCCTCTATCTAAATCAGACCCACCAGCTGCTCAGTGTGATGGCTATTATACATCCTCAGATGGATGGTCAGGAGTGGGGTTCCCTGCCCTACTCATCCAAGGGGTGCTGACCATGCAGATGAAGTGGCCTCTTTCCCTCTCTGCCTACCCTTCTGCTGAGGGAGTGATGGATGGATGGATGGGTGGGTGGAGGATGGATGGATGCTGCAGTCATCTGTCCCAGAGTAGCACTGCAATACTAATCTGTTGCCCTGTTCAGAGCTTTCCTTCTATGAAAAACTTGGGTGAAACAGCAATAACGTAGAGCTTTTCATTCTGGTGCAGGACTGTAAGTTCAGGTGTGTATCTGTGCTTCCTAAGGGCTACGAAATCAAAAATTCCTGGTAGCATCACAGTTCTGTAACTGCCTGATTCCAAGGGAATCAAGAAATAAATTCAAGTATTTCCCTTCTGCTTGTGGCAGAATAAGGAGAAGCGTCACCTGTGGCAGATGTGAGTGTGTGATGTGAAGGTGGAACGAACATGAGAATCGGAGACTAGAAGAAGTTCTCGGGTTGATCCTGGACCACCGGGCAAGCCAAGGAGCAGAGCCAGCCGTGCAATCATGCTTTCTGCCAGGAGAGAGAGCCCTCGACTCAGCAGCTCTGCTTCCTGCATGCACCCAGGAGCTCCGAGAGAGGAGCTGCCAATTAGAGCTTATCAAAAGCCAGCCTGTCAGGACACAAGATGTATTATCAAGCAGCTTCTGCGAGCAACACCACCCTGTGAGCAGGTTTCTGTCAGGAGCTGCGTGTCTTCCTTGTGGTGTTTGTCACAGGATGAGGTGTTGCGTGTCCTTCTGGTGTTCCTCTGTCTAAACAAAGTGATTCTCCAGGTTTAACCAGTTCCTTTCATTCTTCCCATCAGGGTGGCATCTTGGCATAGGCGTGAGCCTCAGGTATGACCCAGGGGTCTGCTAGCAGACGTGCATCGGATGGAAAAGATCTTCATAGTTCATCTATGTGAAAATCTGCTATCGAACACTCAGAATTCATGTTGCTGTTGGGGAAAACAAAACTTCTGGGTGCAGAGAGTCTGGACCAGGCATCAGGAATTCATCAGTGAACCCCTGGCTATAATGAATGGAATAGTGATGCAGAGCCAGCACCGACCAGCCAGGGAGCCTGTCTATGACCAGGCCCGGGTGCTTACAGAGTAAGGAACAGAACAAGGACAACGTGATCTTGCTGTAGTAATCTTGATAACCAGGAAATCCTGATTTTTCCCTTGCATTCCCCCTCCAGACGCCTGCCCTCCCTGCCAGCCTGAGGCAGGGAGTTCTAGTGTGGAAACCTCCAGCATCCTGGGGGTTTTTAACATACCTCTGCATCATTTGCGGTCACAGGATTTGTGTAGTTCTCTCTGTTGTGACCTTGTCTCATTTAAAAAGCTGGGAGTCCTGGAATGTGCCTTGTTTGGTAAAAGGAAAAGGAGCAACCGCTGCACCCTGGAGAGGCTGACACTGCTCTGCAGCAGAGGGCTTGTGCTGGCCTCAGCAGGAAGCCATGGGAGAAGAATCAAGAAAAGGTGAACACATTTGCTCCCTCAAAGGGCTGAACAGGATCTTCAGTTTTTTCCTAAGGGAACTCAGAGCATTTTGCTTTTCAAGGTCAAAACTTTGCTCACGTTAACCACCACCTTTCCGCTTCCCTTCAATCCCTATCTGGATCCTTCATGTGTTACTTCTGGCATAGAGAAATCCCCCCTGGTCTCATGACACAATTTATTCTTGGTTAACTAAGACACCAGAGTGTTCCCAGGCATCCCTAGGTATTCATATTTCAGGGTAGGCAACCCTGCAGCTAATGAGCTAGCTGTGTCTCATTATGCAGTGGGTAATGTGAATGGTGCAGCAGCACTGAAAGGAGAACTGGGCAGAAAGTTGAATAAGGCCTTGATTTTCTCAGCAATTTGACAATCTATTTGCTGTCCTTCCTAAAGAAAGATAAAAGTATTTGGGCACCCCTGTAGTTTTTGATGAGAGTGTAAACAGACTCTGCTCTGAGCTCCTGCAGAGGGAAATGGTGCTTTTCCTTGTCCTGGGGTGACATTGGCCACACAGAACACAGCAAGATCAGATGAGGATCTTGTGATGTTTTGACTGGTGTCCCACATGGTTGCAAACATAGCACAGATTTTCACAAGGTCTTGCTGCATTTCTGCTGTGTGAAGGAGCAAGAACCATGTCCAATGCTTCTGGAAGCTTCATCTCCCTCAATTACTGCATGACCCCAGGCAGGCAACTGAGTCACCTTGGGCAGCATGAGGATGACAGAAGGGAAAAGTTTGCTGGACTTCAAGACATCATAGAAAAAGGCAAAAAATAAGCAGGGAACCAAGGAATGCAAGTGGTTGTGGAGGCTTCCACCTTGGAGATACTCAAAAGCCATCTCAGCATCACCCTGGGCAACAGCTCTAGTTGGCCCTGCTTGAGCATGGTCACGATGACTTTAGAGGTCCCTTTCTGTGATTCTGCCTCTTGGATCAACTCCAAAGTGGAAGGGAAGAGGGAGAAGCAGATGGTGATTTTATTTGCTTCTTTTTTAACACCAGAGATAAATCAACCCCCCACTATTCTGCTTTTTTTGGATGTCCAGGAAGTAAGGTTTTAGGGAGGCAAAGCAACTTCAGAGGGCTTTGTACCGCCGTCCCCACAAGCACTGATGCTTTAGCCATCCACAGAATAAATGAGATTTGCTTTTTAAGAGTTCAAATACTTAAGCTAAAGGCTTGTTTAATATGTTAGTAGGACATAGCAGCTCTTATGTGCGTTGAGATGACAGGAAACAGCAAGGATTGCAGGAGCATGTTGGATGAGTTGTCTGGCAGCCCAGCTGCGGAGTAGACAAGAGCAGGAAGACAGTCCATGAGGAAATGGTTACTTAAATGGTGTGGAAGAGATGAGCTGGACAAAGATCCAGGCATTTGCACAGATGGCTCAGTGAAAATGTCTCTTCAGCCTAGAGTAATGGTCAGTGCTGCATGGAAGGGGTCAGACTGTAGTAAGAAAAGAAGTATTAAAAGAGTATTGTATAAATCAGGGCTGTGCCCAGTCCTGACCTAAACATGATCTCCTGGTCTTAAAATAGACATTGGGGAATTAGGTGGAGACAGGAGAGGATAAAGAAATATGGTGAGAGGGGCATGAAGGGATTGCATAGTGGTCTTAAAAGAAACTGGACCAAAAAGATCCCATTTGAACGATAAACAGTAAGAAAACCAGAGAAGTCAATGGGAGCAACAGGACTGGAAGTCAGGCCCCTCTTTTAGGATCCTTCATTCATAACCCAGGTACCATCCCAGGTGCAATGACTGGCCACAGGTTTCCCATTTCTTGACTTCCCTCATCTACTGATTTAGGGTATCAGCTTAGTTGAGGGTTCTGGGGGTGCTGCAGGAGCTGAGTCAGGGTTGTGATTGATGCGGGATGACTGCTGCCAGGGAGGCCACTGGAATTACTGGAATGCTGAAAAGAACAGCTGGTTTTCCCTACAAGTAAATCTATTGGATGGATGAGGGTGGAAGGGATGGAGCCTGGGAAAGAACTACCTGGAGGTGTCAGATCCCACTTACTGGCAAATTAGCAACTGCCTGAGATTTCTGCTGGTGTGCAGTCCTGCGACAACTCCCTGCTTCTGGAGTAAAGCCTTTGTGCACTAATTGGCACCCTTCAAGCACCTTTATCCACTGATTTCTTTCAGTGAACCTCAAAGAATTTGACTGAACAACTCAACGTTGCTCCTTTTGAATAAAACCCGTGGCAATTAGGTCTGAGTTCCCCTGCAAGAGCTGAGCTGGTAGGTTCTGCACCAGGTGACTCCTAAGCTAATGATGTGATCGTGATGGCTCCTCAGAAGAGCTTATCTTTCTGGACCTGATCGTCAGTGAGACTTAGTAGAAGTTTCTTGGAGTGTATTTTTCTTCTATTATTACTCTTGGTTTTCTTCCTATTGCATCAAACCAGATTCAGGCTAATATTCAGAGAATTTCCCCCACTGTGAGCTCTGCAATAAGAGACCATATGAGGACGGAATCATTCGTATTTGCAAGTTGCTGATAGTTCAACACGGTGAGGGGGCACACAAGACCTAGTATAGTGTGAGGTGTCCCTGCCCGTGGCAGGGAGGTTGGAACTGGATGTTCTTAAGGTCCTTTCCAACCTTAACCCTTCTATGATTCTAAGAAGTGCATTGATAACCCTGCATGTTCATGGTTAGCTTCTCCCCCAGGGAATGTTAAGCTTGGTTTTCAAGAAGAGTTGGGAGGTTTCCACCTTCCAAAGGTTTTCCACCTCTGTCAGGTACCCCCCCTCTTGTCCCCACACAACCAAAGCACAGAGAAAACCTCCTTTCCCCAGCTGCTCCACGATGAGGCACAATCAGAAAGGAGCTTCCAAGAAACAGATCATCTTCTCACCTTATTAAAATTGGGAGACCTCACCCTGGCCCCTTCGGAGTCACTAAAAGCCCGGCTGATGGCAAACTGGATAGCCAGGCCAGTCATAGTCCCAGTGGAGAGCGGCTCTATCCTTCGGACCGCCTGCAGGAGCGCGGCTTTGGTTTGGTAGGTCTTGAGGGAGAACTCGTTCTTGACGGCACTGGCATAGTTGATGACACCCACCCGAGTGGAGTTGGGGCCCACGTCCAGCCCCTCAATCACTCGGGACATGAAGACTTTGACCTTCTCAAACTCGTGCGGGCGCACGCTGCGGGAGCTGTCGATGATGAACACCAGGTCGGTGGGTTTGGTTCTGCACAGGGTGCCTGGAAAGGATAAGGAGGGAGGAGAAAAATGAAAGAAAAAAGAAGAGGAAAGGATCCCATGGGGGAAAGAATGGTGTTGTTAGAGGGTAGAGGACCTGCGAGCTTCAATCCTTTCTCTGCCTGTCTCAGAGAGGCCACTTTAACCTAATAATCCTAAATGTTCTTTTTCCTGTGATAGAAAAGCATCTGTAAGAAAAGCACGGTGACTGGTTGACAACGTGTGCTTCTGAGGGAGCGAGGTGATGAGACACTGGCACTGCACTTGCGGGAGCAGGTTACCCGCTTGTCACCCCAGGCCATTGCTAATGTCTACATGAAACTTAATTCACTTACAGCAGCACGGAGGGAGGAATAAAGCTGTGAACTGAAGCCTGTGTGTGCACTTTGGCATCAAACAGCGTCTAAAAAGGAGCTATCACATTGCAGACATGGATAAGCAATCCCCATGGATATTAATTAATGAGATTATATCTTCATCATGCATGACCAGAAGCAGGCATGGAACTCAGCAGTTCAGATTCGGCCGTGGATTGAGGTATCCAGATTAACTAACCACCATACCATGAACCGGTCTCATGCTGTTCAGCTGTGGACTAGTAAATACTGTAGCACAGCAAAGACCAGCACTGTTTTGTTTCTGTGAGCTGGTGAGGGACAATACAATAGAGAGACGTAGAACCATGTAATTGATAGTTAATCTCTGCAACCCCATAATAAGACTGTAAAAAGTAAATGGCACAAACAGGAAGCATTAGCATTGCAAAAAGCTGAGTGCTTTTATTTTGGTTTTAATTTCTCATTTTCATGCTGTTTCCATCTTAATTTTCAACTGTGACAAAACATAAAAAGGACTGGTGTTTTTTATGGTTTTCTAAATGAATTGCCCTATTCCCCCCCCCCCCAGATCTATAGCATTCTGTTCTTTTCATTTCTTTCTGTCATTTAGCTTGTCTCTGTAGGGGCATCAAGGGTTCTGTTACTATTTGATTTCTGCAGAGAGGGACGATATAGGTTAGATCATAAAGGAGATTTCTGCGGACAGATTTTTAAATGTGAGCTTTTGGGCCAACAAATCTGTTCCAAATGATGACATAAATATTACAGCTGGTCCTCGGTGTGAGATGTAATGGAGCTTTCGGTCTTTCAGACAGATAAAAATAAATACCCTGTGATAGATCCATAAAGGATATAATCAGGTTAGTTTCCTGAGAGACACTAACACCGAATGTGCTTCTGGCTCCCAGAAAGGTCTCTCTCAAAGATGCTGTGTGGGGAAGGGATGCAGGCAATGCTTACTTGGTCAGATGCTCTAGTTGCCCCTAAAATGCAATATAACCTTTTCCCATGCGGGTGACTTCCACTTTGCCACCATAATTCATTGCAGGGGAAGGAAAAACTCAGTTGGCAATCTATCTGCAGCATTGCAAATCCCTTTACCAAAGGTTGCTTATGCCTATTTTACAGGTGAGAAATGAAGGTACAGAGAAAGGCTCAAAGTCTTGCAATCAGTTCTGTCAGAAATAAAGGGCAGATTCCCCTTTGCCACTGTAACTAATGAATCTCCTCTGGTTTTAGTGACAAACCCAGTAAGAAAAGTTGGGTTTTTTTTCCTAGAAGCATTTGGATCCAATAGAAGTTTTCTAGATTTATTATTTTTCTTTACGGAAGCTCAGTGATTTTGCCTTAAATAACTTTTTTTAACCTCTTTTTATGAGAGTGAAGTATATTTCAGGGCAATGAAGAGAAAAGAAGAGATATCAGATGGGAGCTTTGGGATTTCAGCCTGCCTGTTCAGAGCCCCAGTGCACACATCAGGTCTGCAGGACAGGCCTTGGTTATCTCCAGGAGGTGACAGTCTTGCTCTGATTGACATCTTGACTCAGCAGAGTTGATCTTAAAGTTGAATTAAACCAGAAAGAAAATGCTCCTCTGTTTTTAACAACGTCCACACTTGGAGTAATTCAGGAGTAACTGAATTCCATGCACTGATTTAGCAGAAAATCTCTCCTAGGGCATCTTTGCCATATTCATTAAAAGAACAGGAAACCTGCCTGGTAAGTCAGAAGGTGCTTATTCTAGCAGCAGTGATTGCCCACGGTAGGGCTGACTTGAATGACTGGCCTGTTTAGTTTCCTGCCTTCTGTAGTGCTTAATGGCTCTGCAGCAAAGATAACTCTCCCTTTCCAAATTAGTGAGGAGAAACTGCTCAGTATGTCAGAAAACTCCCCTTCGTGAGCAACAGCTAACGCCGCAGTCCCTGTCATGCCTGTTTTACAGTTGTCAAGCTGCCCAGGTATATGCATTATGCATCATCATAAGATCATTCAAACAGTTTTAGAACCCAGCAGTAACTTTTGCCTTGGCCACCTCTCCTCCACTGAGTTCCCCAGGCTGGCTGGAGCGCCCGCAGCATCCTGCTCCTGGCAGAAGGGAGATGCTTCCTCACCACCAGACCCTCCAGCCTTTCCCTTTGTGTTTGGTACTTGCTGACACTAATTGCAGACTAGGAGTCAGAGACCGTGCAAACTAAAGAGCAGGCAGCTCCTCTCCCATCTGGCTGCTCCACACCCTGCTTGGAAAGGTGAACAGAGCAGGACTGTGCTCAAGAACGGATAAGGGGAAAGCCTCAGAAAGGCCCATCCTCAGCATCCTGACCCAGACCTTCCTGCTCAGCGAGGTTAACCAGAGCCTGGGATGTCTGGCCTCAAGCTCCAGGCAAAACCAGCCCTCTGCAGAGCTGTGTGGAGGAGAAGCAGTTTTGGAAGGCAGAGGAGAGCCCTTCTCCTGTCTAAGCCTCCTACAGCTCAGAGACTGCTGCTATGCTGGGGGCTAAGGCTGACCTGCTGCCACCTTTGCTGTGCCTCTGCATAGACCTCCCACTATATCCCTAAAGCAGTGTAAGGGGCAGAATCAAACCCATCTCCAGCCTTTGCTGCCTTGGGAAAGCACTTGAGAAAGCTCCTTTGCTTCCTTGACTGATGTTGGGTGTTTCTTCTTCCTTCACCTCCTTCTCTGTCCCAAAGCAGGCTGGTGGCAAGGAGGCAGAGGACTCACACCAAGCATCCCGCTGCTGAGCTCCCCACTTACCTCTCTGCTGTGGAGGTGTCCCACAAACTCCATAGCTCTGGAGGAGAAGCAGCAAAGAGAGCAGCAAGGCAGAGAAAATCCTGTCCATGGCTGCGGAGGAGCCAGTGCCTGGATGCAGAGTAGCAAGCACGAGCCTTGGCCCAGAGGTATTAACCTGCCCTTCCTCGGGGAGGCATGGGGCCGGCCCCTGACACGTGTGAAGGGCTGGGGGGGCACCGAGGGGAGAGGGACAAGCAAGGAGGACTAGGAAATATTGCATGAAGATGGGGAAAGGGGGGGGGATGTCCAGCTCTGCCGGCCCCCATCCCCTCCACAATGGCTTCATTGCTGGTGAAGGGGATGGGAAGCTATAAAGAGACCCGCAACAGCATGGTATGTGGGGAATCTGGGACCGTAACAGTGGGAGCAGTGAAACCAGCCCTGGGGAGCTGGGGTTAACCTGTCAATCACCAGCTCCCGCCTGCAAACCCTAGGCTTTGCCACTGTAAGCAAACTGCAGTGTGTCCTTCCTCCGGCAAAGCCCAGGGAGGGGTGATGGTGGGAATAGGGGGGGCACGGGAATAGCATCACACAAATCATCCCTTTGCCAAGAGCAGGGCTGGAAACCAGCCTGAGGGACCAGGGGACTTCGCTGCCTTGGCGTAGTTTGCAGGCAAATGGTTGTAGGAGAAGGGGAGAGGAAGAGGAGAGCAAGGCTTGGGGAAGAGGAATGAGCAACAGCATCGGATGCAGAGCAAATTCCTTCCTGCGGGAAACAGTTGCTTCTCTATGAGGCTGTGCCCCTGGGCAGCAGAGGAGGGAGGGAAAGAAAGAACTCAGTAGCCTAAACTAGATAAATAGACAAGAAACTCAGCATAGACAAACAGATTAGAAGTTTGATTTATTTCTTACAGTGTATCTTTTGGGTCTCTGCACATGAGGGAGATGCAGCTCCTGCCACAGAAAGCCAATAATCTAAACCAACAAATAAGACTGATGATGCTGCAAGTGAGCAGAAATCCAATGTTTTCTTTATGGCAGAGCAGCAGGGAGATTTGGTACCAGAGGAAGGGGAACTTAATGATGGGTTTGTCACAAAGCAGTGCATCTGTTTTTTTCCTAAGTACCATATTACAGTATTGTCAGTTGATTGAAGCCCTTCCAAAGATGGATTAGTCTTTGCTCACCTTTCCAGTCACACACCCTTGGAACACTCATCCATTTAATCTGCATTGTGTTAGTGCAGGGCTGTGGCAAACTACCTTTAATTCAAAGCCCAGTTTCTCTTTCCTTATCCAGATTCCCTCTTTACTCCCAAAGTGCTTCAACAGAGACTGAGAGCTCCTGTGGAGAAAAGCCCTTTGATTAGGAAAAAAAGGGACCTGTCCTTAGTGAAGCTGCCAGGTATTCTTAACTCTTTTAACATTAAAAGTGTTAATGAAAATATAAAATGTAGCTATGGTCTCATGCAAAATCAGCACAGATTTGCCCCACTGCTGTCTTCCCAGGTACCCACCATCAATCGCAGGCCTTCATCCTTCTCTGGAGCTAGCTGGACATTTTTAGCCAGAAGGAGAAAATGGTCCAGATGAGGCTTTTTGCTCCCATTTCACCTCTTTCTGTCTTTAAGCCCCTTTTCCCAAGCTTTGTGACATCTTATTTATTTGCTTATTATTTCAGAGCCCTGGGATTAAAAGGGCTGCCATGAATGATGTGAAAATCACAACTATGGTCACAGGGTAGTATAGAACACACACACACACACACACCCCTTCACATATACCTGTGCATGCACAAAGAAAGAGCTCAGTGCAAAAACTTTGTCTATAAATGCTTATGCCTGTGAATGGATGCATAAATATATACACATGTGACCATACATGCACGTAAACATGATTGCATATGTGTTTCTGTATATAAATATGTATGTGTGCACATACATGCAGACATATAACTCTCCTCTATACATGCTTTTCATGGGTGTGTTTCTACATGCATGGATGCAGATGGGTGCTAAGATGTATAAATACTATTCACTGATATCCTTGTGTGCTTATATGCACACAGATGCGTTTGCTCCCCCAGCACCTAGAACAGCCACACTGGTGCATTTACAACTCTTAGGAAACAACATGAACCAAAAACATAAAATCAGGGAGATTTTACCTCCAGCCCTGTCTGCGATGGGGTTTCTCCTGTTGCTCTGCCATGCATACAAGGATCTATTGGTGCAGACAGTACTCGCTTGCCATGAATAGGGATCATTCAGAGCTCTCCATAAATGAAGTCTCTATGGCTGTTCTCGCGGAGGAAAATATAAAGTTTCTCTGTGTCATTTTGCTGTTAATTAGCAAAGGAAGATAAATACATTTCAGGTGAATATTTTCTCTAGCAGAGCTTGTGGCACACAAGCAACATTAAAGCTTTGAGAAGGCGGCGAGAGGCGAAGGTGTGCTGGATCCCAGAGCCCTGCATTTATGCCTCTGTAAAAGCCCTGTTTGTTTTGAAAATATGAAACATAATTTTTCCCCAGGCCTCCAAAAATGAAAACACCAAATTCAATATTTCGAGAGGAAAATATGCATTTAAAGCTCTTCCCGAGCCTGCTTGCGCCGTAAACAGACAAACCGTTAACGGCTGATGCTGGCCCCAGAGCAGCCCTGTCATTCTGCAGAGCCACTATTGCTGGCTTCACATGCCCTGGCACAAGGAGGGTCTGCCTTTCCCTCCAGCACAGTCACATCCATGTCTCCTTACTAAAAAAGGGCTTGTTGTAAATACCAGATCCCCTTTTGATTCCACAGCAGGATGGTCAGCAGATGCAAGGAAGGACAGGACAAGGGGAATGGCTTTAACCTGCCAGAGGGGAGACTGAGACGAGCTCTTAGGCATCAGCTCTTCACTGTAATGGTGGTAAGGTGCTGGCACAGGGTGCCCAGAGAAGCTGTGGCTGCCCCATCCCTGGCAGTGTTCGAGGCCAGGTTGGACACAGGGGCTTGGAGCAAGCTGCTCTAGTGGAAGGGGTCCCTGCCCATGGCAGGGGTTGGAGCTGGAGGAGCTTTAAGGTTTCTCCAACCCATATGGTATTTCTGACCTGGGTTTGCACCCACAAATTATGACCACTGAGACTATTCTCAGGATGGAGCTGACAAATTACCATTTTTGGAGACACCTCCTGCACACGCTGTGATGATCTGCTCTGCTCTACCAACACTATGGGTAAAAAACCTTTGCCGATGGCTGCAGCCTCTCTGCTCCCACCGGCAGGAGCTGCTGGAGCCACCTCCTTGTTGCTGTTGTGAGACCATGGTGCTGATGCCTTTGTTGGCCAGTTTGGATGAATGAGCTTGGCTGCAGGGTCTGGATGTCACAGCACGGATGAGACACGTTTAACAGCATGGCAGCATGAAACTCACTGTCGAGTGCTTAAACTGCTGGGAGACTTCAGCTGGAATGTAATATCAAGTGCTTAGCAGGGCTGGAGAGCCTTTGCACTGCCCTAACCACCAACACACCTAACAGCAGCCAGAGCTTTTGCTTGTGGGTGAGGGACTGTATTAAAACAAAGAGCTTTCCAAATGCAGACAAGTCCAGCAGAATACTCCACTGTGAAGCCACTAGATGCAGTTTATCCTCCCCAGCATGACCAGTTGGGGAAGCATCATCCGTTGCCATCTGAGCAAGAGAGAGGTTTTCCTTGCTTACTGTGCTGCATCCTTCCTTGTCTTTCTAAAACCTTTTCCTGGTTTGTAATATCCCGATGTTAAAATGCCACTCTGCTGGATGCCTTCATTTCACGGATAATCGAATCTGCCAGCCTTGGGATGGGCCAAGAAAGAGCAAAGCCCAGTTTAAGTGTTAAAAGTACTAAAAATCAAGCACATCCATAATACGCTTACAGCTGGAAGAGGTGGTAACTTCTCATGTGTCATAAACCAAGCAAGTCTGATAGCATAAACTGTACAAATAGAGCTTATTTCTCTATCACTACGTGCATAACATCTCACAGGAATCAGATGGGAAAAGCCAAGAGAAATGACATTTTAATTTCAACAGCGCAGACATGCTTTGTTTTCATTTGGCATTTTCCTTTTCCAATTTGCTTTGCTCGAGTTTTATTTTAAACCAGTGTATTTGGTTTATATTTACATATTTCCAATGAACATGTCATTATTCCATCTAATAGCTTAGGCTACATTTCACACTGCAACTCAAATGATAACATCAAAATGAATCAGTCCCTCCGGCACATCCATGTAAATGACCCAGAAGAATGTGAAGGTTTTCTGGGGAAAAAAGGGAAATCAAACTTCAGAGGTCTCAAGACTTTTCCAGACTTCCAATAGAGCTCAAAATGAAGCACAGTGCTTGTATCTGTGGACCGTTCTTAGAAGCGATGGGAAGATGCTGGCCACGTTACACCAGTTGAGGCAGCAGAGCAAGAAGAGGTTTGGCATGGGACAAGCAGCCAAACGCTGAGTAGTTTGCTACTGTGTAAGATGTGTATTTCATTCTAAACACACCTGGTATAGCTCTAACAGCTTTCTCACCCTCCAGCCACCAGCAAACTCCAGAGTTTAGCAAAGTGCTCAGTAACTTTCTTGTCTTTCTCTTTGATGTTCCCAGGTGAGTGTTTTGGAGCTGGATTCGCAGCCTCCATTCGTCAAATGCTCAGAGAAATGGTGACAAAAGCTGCCATTTAGTCAAAGCTCCAATTCTCATATTTTATCCCCACGGTATTTCTATTTCAGGTTGTTACAGGGAGTGCAGGAGTCCCTCCCTGCCTGCTTCATTACCAGAAATGATATTTACTGCAGCACCACCATATAGCAAAAGTGGTATTTACAGCAGTGGGATAAGTGCAAAGCATAAAAGAAATGATGTAAAGGGAGAAAGACTGGGGAGGAATGAATGGCTTTAAGTATAACCTTTTTGACAACTCAGGATCAAAAGAACTGCTGTTTATCCTTTGAGCTGCAAATGGCTGGCAAATATCCTTGCGCTTTGATGCTGTAAATAGTAAATGCTGTTTATGGGTAGTCAGTGTTTATGCATTTTATGGGTCACATTTATTTCAGAGGGATCATTTTTTATTTGCTGTGTTAACCTTGCCCACATCTTCCCCTTGGGACTGAGTTGCCTCCTGGACACTATTCCTGGCTCTCCTGCTGACCACCTGCAAAACCTTGGGCAGCTCATGTCCTCCTTCTGTGTCTTGATTTCTCCACCAGCAACGTTGGTCTGGACCAGAAGTCCCTAAGGTTACATCTAACTTACTAAACCGCTTGAATGAAACAGCAGTATAAGGATTGCCACTTGCAAAGATCATGGGATCACAGCATCATAGAATGGCTGTGGTTGGAAGGGACCTTAAAGATGGTCCCTTGATTCCATCAAGAGATGAAGGTCACTATGCGGGCTGCTCTTTTCTCTAAGGTGAATGAGCCAACATACCTGCTGGATGTAGGCAGCCATACAAAAGGAGGTATGGGTAGGAAGATGCAGCAAGAAAGACTCTGGAATCATCCAAGAAGAGAACTTCTTTGTAAAATTGCTTCCACGAGCAGAAATGCTACAGGAATCCTGTGGGCAGACACAGGGATGAGAGATCCACAGCTGGAGTCCACGGGGGCATCTGGCCTGATGGATGGGTGTGCAGATGGAAAGCAAACAGGAACAAAAGGATTTGGGCTGATGCATGACCACCCTGCCAGTTTCTGTCATTCTGGGCTCACCACTGGGAACAGCGGTCGCAGTGACTTCATTTGAGTGGTACAAGTGAATAATCATCTTAATGAAGATGTCTGCAGGAGAGCTGAAATAAAACATGTCTTTTTTAATGATGTTTGATTTGTGCATTTATCATGGTGCCTGTCCCGGGCTCCAGGCACAGAATCCTGGAAGGTTTATAGGTGTCATTCAAACCAGCAGGAACCAAGGCAGGAGTCAAACCAAGAAAGGCAGCACGGTCCCTGTGGTGCAGGACAGCCTGCAGTGACAGGCTCCTGGAGCAACGCCACACATCCATCACCCGGGATTCCCTCTGCTGCTCCAGGGCCAGTCGGGATGTTGGCTTACGTCAGCTCAAGAAGATGCCAGGGAACGCTGCCAAGTTGCTGTCTTTGCCCTCTTCAAAGTCTATTTATACCCGGTCATGGACATCAGAATACCCTAGGGGTAGGAGAGACCTTTCCATCATAGCGGACGCTATGACTTGATCTGCCTGGTTTCGAGCACTGTTGCATTATGCATTCTTTTTGCCAAGTTGCCAGCAGCTCCATCATGTTTCTGGATGCCATTTCAAAGTCTGATAGAAGCCGGCACCAGAAAAATGCTTCCTATCCTCTCCGGGCTTTACTGACACTGTTCTCTGCCAGCTTCGGGGCTGTTTAACATCCAGGAAGATTTGTAGAATAAGGAATTTTGCGGAGTTTCCATGTCAAAAAGTGTCTTACAAAAAGGTCTGTCCTGGGTTGCTGGAGCAATCCATGCTGGTTACCTCCACCAGGAAACGTTGCCCATCAGTGAACAGGTTTATCTAACAGTTGACTAAAAGGCTGTGAATGGTGCACGGGAGCACTTCCAGCATGTAACTGGGGTTTGTAGCATTGCCCAAGGCTGAGGGAAGGAGCCTCAAGGAGGCTGTCCTGTGTCAATAAAATGAAACACTGCTGCAATGGCACAGAGCAAAACTCCATCTCATCCAGGTATGAGGACTACCTGCCAGTCCCTGGGGATTTACTTAGACCTTCAGAGGTTTTTCTTGCCTGGTTTTGAGACAAGACCCAGGATCATTCTCACCATTTGTGCCATTTCCTTCCCTTCTTTGACCGGTTCCATGATATTCCATGAGTTATTTCCTTTTTCTTCATGCCTCAGTTTCCCTTCATCAAAGAATAGCTGCTCATTTCTCATCTGCATTGCAAAAGTAAAAGCAATGTGTGGACCAGCATTAGGCATATTTGTGTGAATTGGTTTTCAGCCTGTAGTGGAGAAACTCACATCAGTAAATCAGTTTAGAGAAGAGAAAACAGTATAACAGTAGCATATTAAAAGAGTCTTTTATCAGTCTCAAAACCAGCATTGATAGCACCATCGTCTGACTTATTAACAGGCTTGGAACAGCTTGTGCTCAGTTTGTGTTGGCCAAAGCATCTAACATAGCAGAAAACCAAAACCACTTCCCGTCTAGAACTCGGCCCCTGACCTGGCTGGAAACTCACAATAAATCTATACATTTTATCGGATTTCAAGGGGTTTTGAGCCAAACTTCCACAGCAAACTGTTCTGAGTCCTGGAGAGAAAACACTGCACGAAGCAGAAGGATCGTCTGGCTTGAGAAACACGAAACATCAGGTTCATTTAAAAGATCAGGTGTGTACCCGAAGGCTTGACTCCTCATACACATTTAAACAAACCCCATCACTGCAAGCCATGTGTTGAAAGTACTTTAGCTGTATTATCATAGTCAATTAAAACAAGAGGCTTAAGGAATGTTTAACCCTGCTGCAGTAACTAAATAGCCAAGAGCGTTATTAATGGGAATTTAATAGGGGGTAGAATTTGAACCATTTATAAGAGAGGGAAATTGATTTTAAACACAATTCAATTGGCTTACACAGTGTAACCCTCTTCTGGTTAGAGGTGAACTAGATGCCCTCTAAGGTCCCTTTCAACCCAAACCTGCCTATGATTTTAAGGCAGCAAGGGCAGCATCGTTCAGAAATCACACAGCAAAGCATCGAAGCCATTAACTTCTTTTTAATTAAAACCCATCTTTCAAGTCACACTAAAAGCAAAAAAAAAAGGCAAACACTCAGGTATAAAATGGCAGAGCAATACTGTGACAATCCCAGCTCGCTGTTGTGTACTCTGGAGTACACACTATTAATCACCATCATAAGCAGACAGGATGAGAGCTGCATCATCATTCATTTGAAATCTTCATTCTTCAGCTGATCCATTTCCCATAGGGTCCTCATTAAAGGATGCTGGTTAGCGTAGCTTCAGGGTAGGACTGTCTCAGTGAAAAGCTTCTTGCTTGTTTTCCCCCCATTACACATCTTAAATGTCTCAGCTGCTGATTTAGATGTGAGACAGATGAGAAACAGCATCTTGCTGTCATAAAGTAAGCCTGATGAGGGATTCAGGCCAGTGCCTACACTTCACATTAGCCAGATGTCAGAGGCCAGTGATGGGAACCCCTGTGGTGCCTGGTGCCAAGTTAGTTAAAATTAGCACTGCAACTTGATAGTACCAAGTCAAAACTGCCAGTGTAGAACAAGTCACCAACTCCAGTGAGTCACCACCACTGTAGGCCCATAAAGAGAGCTGGACTGTAATAAGCATGATATTGCTATAAAGTGAGGACTTTTCAATGAGACTATCTGACAGAAGGGGTAAGGGCCACCAATAGCAATGCAGATGTCATCTTCTCTTCACGAGTGAAGCTTAGATTGCTACGTAGGGTGGTGGGGATTCCTTGGAAGGCAGCTCTAAGGCTTCCTCATACGATGGCAGCACAGCCTGAAAGAGAAGACCATTAGTTATGGGGATCACATGAAGGGATTCAACAAGTGATATATTCCCATTTATCTGCTTTGCCTGAAGCCTGAGTTTCAGGTTCCTGCAGATACCATTGGCACTGAAAGATCTTATACAAAAGTTAAAGGAATATAATACATTTGGAAAAGTAAACCTATTAATGCACATTTGAAGGGCTGAACAATCTCTCAGGCAGCTAAAGAAGCAAAAGTAAGGACCATCATGTATTTCATCAGCCTAAACCATGCCCTTTCATGATGTAGATCTGAAGCAGTCTTTACTCACCTTTTCAATTGCTTGCTGGTCAACTTTTACCTCCTCTCTCTTGCTGGCTTTAATATACTTAAAGCAGCTCAGGACACATTTGAACATACAGGCCTGGAAAGGAAAGGGAAGTCTGCCATCACATTGCACATCAACAAGAGCATTTCTACTTTGGCCATCAGCCTGCTATTGTCCTGCTCTCTTCTCTGGAGGTAGAAGCATGGGACCATGTGTCTCAGGACCTTAAGAGAGTTTCTCTTCATCCTTCATTAGAAGGGTGACAACTCCATCTATTCAGAACAATACACTGGTGTGGGAAGTCGAGAGGACTGGTAATACCATTAAGTATAAAGCACATGCTTAAGACCTCAAGGAGTGCAATGTCATCACGTAGGAAAGGAAAGCATGTCCTTCATGTTATTCGGATGTCTCAGAAAAGCACCTTGGGCACAACATCCACTTCCCAGAGATCCAAGGCTCCCTGGTCAACTAAGACTGACATGAAAGGTCAGCTCATTCAACAAAATCCTCTATATATATCCTACCTTATACTTGCAATAGTTACACTTTCCTGACAAGGCTGCTTTACACCTCCCTGATGCAATAAATAGAGCTTTTCTGAGAGAAATGAATCGATTGACAGGTTGTGGTAGAAGAAAATAAGCCAGGCCTGTGAAACACACCATATTAAATAAATATTTTCCCTACTCTGTGCAGCGAGGCAGAGTCGTGTGCCTCTTGTTTTCATTGGCCTAAGAGCCTGCTTTAAAAACAGTTGGCATTTTCAAAGGAACACAGGGAGTTATATGCCCCGAGAGCAAGCCATAAAGCTTAGGACTTCTTAGAACAATGAGGACTGTTTGTCTTGACACAAAGCCAAGATAAAGAATGAGAATAAGGAATGAAGTATCTGAGTTGAAGGAATCCGTCTCTCAAACAAACTTCCAGAGATAAGGAGGCAAATTCAAGCTTTGACCCCCACTAGGGAATACTGCAGAATCCTTCCTGTTCCAAAAGCCTCCCTATATGGAGGGCGAGCTATTTCAGAAGTAATTATGCTAAAGCCTTACTTTCATTTCTC